AGGAGGTCCAACCATGTCAGATGCAGGTGCACCCCATCAAAGAAGATAGTTTTGCACACGCTGGGCGGACCGACGCCCAGGGAAGCTACGCCAGCGACGGGGGGGCACATTGAGACCCACGAGTTCGGCGAAAACCGACGCCTGCAAGGCCGCGAAAGGACTCCCACCAGCACGTGCGAGAGAACAGTTGAAGCGTGGCTCATAGACAGGGCAGCAGCACGATAATCACCTGAAGAAAACTAACCTCCAGCATGGGACAGCAGCCTGTGGTGCCTATGTGTCTCGGCTTTTGTGGTGTATGTGAATGTCTTTTCTGAACACCTTGCGCACGAATAGCAGGGTTCGAGATTCTACCCTACCTTGCTTCGCCTGTCAGGCGGATATTTGTGTCAGGCTGGCACACTTGTTGGATTGCCCAGTGTTGTCCAGTGGGCTAGTTGTCCTTCCAACCTCTTCCAGCCTTTGCATCGGTCGCGGTCTCACCAGGATTCGGCTGTGGGAGCTGTTCCCACTTGATACTGACATCCCGCCAGCCATCTGAGCCTAGATGGTCTCAGGAGCTTCCCCTGGGTCTGGAATCCCCCCGCGATGTAGCAGAGGGTCCGCCTTGACCCAAGATACCTCCAAGATGACCCCAGATGCCGCAATATTGCCTCCACGATGGCACAAGAGAGACCAAGATGGCTCAAGATAACCTCTAGCAGGCCGTCAAGAGCCCACGATGCGGTTCTTAGATGAGGCGCTGGGCCGCAGAAGCCCCCCCCCCCAGAATGTGCGCAAGAGGCCCCATCACTCAAACACATAGTGCTTATCACTGGGTCTCAGCGTTTCGACCTATCGCTCCTAATGGGCTTCTGAGACTTCAATGTGGCCCTCAATGTCGCCCAAGCGAGCTCCAAAATGGGGCCCAGAGTGGCTCCAAGCGGACACCAAATACCGCCAATAGCGCCGCAAGGGTGCTCCAACAACGCCCCGAGAAGTGTCTGTTCGGGCTCCAGGCGGGTGGCTCTAACAAGGGCAAAGCATAACGATTCAATGAACCACTGTACGGTTTTGTTTTCGGCCGTATCCTTGGAAGGCTTTTGGGCTGAGACAGCTCAAATCGGGCATTGGATACCACAATAGTCCCTCCAACATGGCTCAAGATGGCCCAATCTGACTATCATGACCGCGAACGTGCCTGCAGGATGCCACGCGACACTCCCAGGGCGGCTCCACGTGGCCACGGGGCGCCCCAAGGAGACCCCGCACATGCCAAACTGCCTAAACACGTAATGCGTGTTCAATGGATTGGGGATTTGGGCGTTGCTTAATGGAGGGGTCACAAATGGGGGGGTCAGAAAAGGTCCCCTTTCGTGCCCCTTTCGGGCCCCTCCGGAGCCCCAGGGGGCTCGTTTAGGTACCGTTTGGGTACCTTTTCGGACCACCCTCGCCACCCCCCCATTTATGACCCCCCCATTACGCAACGCCCAAGGGATTGTCCCCGTTTCTGACTACCTACCAGACCACCCCAACCCAACCCGAAGACCCGAATTTCGGGTTGGGGGGGGTAAGGGTTCCACACGTGTTTTCTCGATGTTTCCCGACCCCCCCCCACTGGAAATCGAGGGTAAATCTGAGCCTTCGGGTTGGGTTGGGGTGGTTTGGTGGGTGGTGAGTTTCGCGTCCGGAGGACTTTTGAGGCCTCACGGTGGCACCAGACTCGCCCCAGAGAGCTCACATGGGGGCCCACGCTCCGAGATAGGCCCCCCCCCCGGCCCTCAAGACCGCTGCAAGAGCGTCACCAAAAGGGCTCTCAGAGGCGAGTGCAGGGCCTCCAGGGGGGCGGCCCTGACTGGACGCACCTCATTTGTTGACACAGATTCGTCGTTTTCATACCAGGAGGGACCCAAGGCCCCAAGAAGGACCCAACAGACCCTCAACAGGACCCAGAGGACTCCAAGGCTGGCCCCAAGATGGCTCCAAGAGGCCTCCAGGGCGGAAGCAACGCGAAGGCAATTAGGGTTGACACCTGCTGTCGTCGTCGCTGTTGTAGCCAGCGCCTCTTCCCTCCCTATCCTTCTCCTCATTGTCCAACATCCTCCACATTATCCTCCAACTACCCGAATGGCGGCAAAAACTCACAATCTTTTCCGATTGGCTTCGAATTTCGTCGCGCATCTCCTCCGTCACAGAAAACTCAGGAGTCAACCGTAAAGGCCCTCGTGGCGCTTGTCCAAGCGGGCCGTAAAGCTTCCCGAAGAAGATACAGCAACTGGCTGGTTCCTGACTCTTCCTCGGAAAACAACTACGACTGAATCCTGATCTTCCCCGAAAAGGCGCCCACGGCGGACTCAATAATGCCTGAAGGCTTACTCCGAAAATAAACTCTTGGTTGACTCGTGGACGTCTCCTGTGAGGGCCTCGAGAAGGCCCCCCACACACCTCCAGCTTCTACAACGCTGTAATGAACGTGGAAGCGATACTGCGGCTGCCCTGGCCAAGTGCTCTCCCCGCCCCTTCTCAAAACCCCCCTCGTTCCCCCCCCCACCGACCAGTCCCCCCCCCTTCCCATCCTCCTACATCCTCCCCTCCTTCTCACTCCCTATCCTCCTGCATCCCCCTACCCTCCCATTGCCTCTGGCATCATGCATCCGGTGTCTACAGTGGTGTGCTATGTGCTACGGGAATGGTATTCTCGTTCTTCTACCGAGTGTGAGGTCCCGAATGAGGGGGGGCAAAAGAGCTCATACGTGGCAATCTGACGACGGTGAATTCTGCGCTCTGGACCAAGCTGATGGCTTACTTCAAGAGTTCGAGGCCGGTTTGGCTTTGCAGCAAGGGAGGACGGCAGCTGAATTACACTGTGGTTCTGGGCTGGAGCAAGGCGCTGACTTTTATAGTTTGCGGAAATGCACTGGTAGTCTTCAACACGTGTATATAAGGCCGCCCGTTGGCCGACCCGATGTTGACTATCGCAGTTGGCGGTGTAGACCAAAGCACGGACCTGTGCAGTGAATATCGGCGATAACGATACTTGTGATAGATGTGCTTCGGCTCCCGAGTCAAGCATCCTCAGGAATTTGCAGTCCTCATGCAATGTAAGTGACAAGGCCTCAGACAAATCAGATCACGTGCTGCCAGAAACGATGACAGACCGCGGGGCCCAGCCGCGTTTCAAGAGCAGGGGCATCATACCAGCCCCGTGGACGATTGCAACTCCCCTGTCTACTCAAGAGCAATGGTCTGGATTTCGCCTTCATGGAGGCACGATTAGGGACGGATGCGTTGGTCACGACACTGCGGTGCAACCTTTACTCTGTGTTGGCGATGCTTCAGGTGGGGAGGACGCTCACAACTCTCGCTTGAGGCCCGTGGGCTTAGCCATCTGTGTTGTCACATGCTTCGCGCCCCTCGCGCTGAGCCCTTTGCATTTTCGAAGGGCTCCCAGAGGTAGTGCAGGCGGTGCCCAAAGGCGAACGCGCGGCCTTCGAGCTGGCCGTCAGGTTATCCACTGGGACGCTTGTCTTCGTCACCGACTGCGCGGAGGTAGCCAAAGGATGGTGATCACAGTTGTACCTCGGACCGAGTGGCGCGAATGCAGCGATCTGGAGAAAGATAGGGAAGACCCTCACGAGCCAAGGGCGAACAGCTGCAGGCATCACTGTCCTTCAGGTGTCATCTCGCTTGGAGGCGCCAGAAGTCTGCAGAAGGGGAGCTGCCAGCTGGCTCGTGGAGGGCAACTGCGTGGCAGATCACCTCGCCGGGGTGGCAGCTGCACAGGTGCGCGCTTCTGGAGAGGAGCGGGCTCGAGTGTTTCAGGTAGAAGCGAAATATATGCTGGTCAGGCGGCGGCTGCTGAAGAGTGGCGCCGCCCGCGATCCGCAGGGAGAGCGGGCCGAAGAAGGAGGCGGGGCTGCAGGCCGGAGCGACGGAGCAGGCGGGGCGCGCGACGGCGGCGAGGACGGAGCCGCCAGAGGCTCCGCATGCCGTCCCTCCTCATCTTTCTCCTCGCCCTCCTGCGCTGCCCATCTCTGCTACTCATCTTTCTCCTCGTCCTCCTCATCCTCATCTTTCTCCTCGTCCCCCCTCGTCTCCCCCTCCTCGTCCTCATCTTTCTCCTCGTCCTCCTCATCTTTCTCCTCGTCCTCCTGCTAGTCTGAGACGCCTCGTGACTGCCCATCTCCTGACCGATTCGTCGGGCAACATGTGCACCATGTGTACGGGGTCCGATAGGCTTGTCAGGGATCAACACCCTGAGGCCGAGGAGCTGAAGGAGTCAGATACTCGAGCAAAGGCTTGAGTGGTGGATTGCTATTTTTCGCTACGCGAAGGCTGCAAGTCCTGTAAGTCCTCCCCTCCTTCTCCCTCCCTGTCCTGATCGCCCGCTCAAGGACCACGGACGAACGAACCAAACCCATCCGCCAGCCTCAGCTGGAGTGTGTCTGTGCGTGTGCGAGATTGTTTTGCCCATGGATCCTCCAGCGCTGCCAGAAGCTCCAGGAGCTTGCTTGCGCGCCGTCCCGCCTTTCGGCCGGCCCCGCGCGCGGTGCGGAGGAGGGGCGGCGCTGGATAAAGCCGGGCGCGCGCGCGCGGGCGGGCGTCGTCAGTTCTGAAACACAGTCCCGCCCCCAAGCAGCGCTTGAACCATGCAGGGGGTCGTGGGCAGAAGCAGGCGGGGAATCCAGCGCGTCTGCACGCTCTTCTCATGACTGGGCCATTCACCTCCCCGTCATCCTCGTGTTCTTCATCTGCGCGGCCTCCTGCTCCTCCTCCTCCTCCTCCTCCTCCTCCTCCTCCTCCTCCTCCTCCTCCTCCCCGTCCTTCTCTTCCTGCTATTCCTGCTTCTGCTCCTTCTCTTCCCGCTCCTTTGCAGCGTCCCGCAACTTCAAGTGCTATGCATGTAGCGTTCTCTTCCCGCTCCTCCCCCCTCCTCCTCTTCCTCCCTCGCCTCCTCCTCTCACCTCCACGCGGCCGGCGGACCCGCCGGGTGCCCGCGCCGGCGCTGGCGCGGGCGGCGCTCACAGGATGGGGCCGCCCAGGCCTCGGAGGCGCCCGCGACCCGATCCGCGGGCCCGGCTCTCCAGCCGCGCGGGCTTCGGGGTTCGGGTTCGAGGCTCGATCGAGGCCTGCGGGCAGGTGTGTCGATTCTGGGCGGTTTCTCTGGCACCGGATGCGTTCCAGCGGCCGCGCCTCGCCGAGAGCGTTCTGGGGGTGCCTGGAGCCTCCCGAACGGCCGCTGGAGACCCGAGCTGAGAAGAGCCCTGTGGCTTCGGAGAAGGCTTAGAAGAAGTCTTGAGAGGCTGGAGGCCTGCCGAGCTTCCTGAGGAGCCCCGCCTCTGCTCGTTCCCCCCTGGCGCGCCGCCGAAGCTGGGCTTGCCTGTAGGATTTCTAACTTATAGAACAGAAGAGAACAGGGTCCGTTCACCTCGCGCCCCGCTATTGTTTGATACTGCGCGAAATCGGTTATTCCCATCGGCTTCTTGTGGGTATTCCAACATCTCCCCGTGGTAATCCAATGTATTCCTGTGGGGGTGCCAATTCCGTCCTCGTGGTATTCTGATGGAGCCCCATGGGACCCCAAGGGGTCCAATGGCGAACACTGGAATCAAATAGAGCCCTCTGGTGCCCAGTGGAATCAGATGCAGAACATTGAAGTCAAGTGGAGTCTTCGGTGTATGCCAATGAAGTCTAATGGATGTTCCAACGGGCTCCTATAGAAATTCAATTAGAGTCCAACGGAGTCCCATAGAGAGCAAAGGAGCCTTCTGGAGTGAATTGTCGAGTCCATCAGAGCCCAATGGAGCCCTAGAGAAACCAGTTGAATCCACTGGAGTCAGACGGAGCCCAACGGAGTCCAACGTAGCCCACTTGAATCTGACGGGGTCCACCACTGGACTCCAGTGGAGCCGTATGGAGCCCAATGGAGTCTTATGAAGTCGAATGGAGTCAAATGGGTTCCAATGGAGTCTCTCGGACCTGTGGAGACCAACCAATGGTTTCCCATGGAGTCACGCGGAATCCTATGGAGACCAATGGACTCCAATGCAGCCGATTCGACTATCCGTTTTTGGCGTCAACGCTGGTAGAAATTGTCCTCTCGTCCCTGTTCCCCCTCGATCCTCTGCTGCTTTTCCTCCTTCTCCTCCGTCCGTGTCTGCCACTTTCGGACCAGAGTGGGACGTTTCGGGGGCGCAGCTTGATCCGCCAGTGTGCCCCCTAGCACGTGGAGGCGTGGTAGAATTCCAAGGGCTGCCTGGTAGGGTTTGTTGTAATCTTCTGAGCTCCCTCCACCCCCTTCCGGTCACGCTCAGGGGCATGCATCCCCCCCCCTCCCTAACACTTTCCTGAACAAAACTATGGACCTAGTTTCCTGAAGGGGCCCCAGGACACACAAATAAATACACACAAATAAAAGGACTCCCCATATGTTCCGGTATTTTCTGGGTTTTTGTCTTCCCCCCACTTCCCATAGTTTCCTAAATTTTCTGGAGAATCGACGAGTAATTGTGTCTGTGTGTGTTTTTCCCCCTCCTGATTTCCTGAGGCCCCAAAACCCTTGGTAAAAGTTATTGTCCCGCGCTCCCGAAGCCACGATCCCTCCCATGCTTCCTGCAGCTCCAGACGGCCCTACAAGCCTCCAAGATGTCCCCAAGACGGCCCCCAAGTGGCCCAATAATCTTCCAAGACGGCCTCAACGAGGGTTCCCAACTTCGCGCTTCGCGCTGCGCGAAGCGCGAAATGTGAATAACTTCGCGCTCTCGCGCCGCCTCCCAGGGGAGAGAGGAGGATGAGGAGGAATCGGAGCCGAAGCACGAAGCGCAAATAACTTCGCGCCCTCGAGGGCGCCCTCGCTGAAGACAGCCCGAGAGGGCCCCGCGACGGCCCAGGACTGCCCCGAGAGAGCCCCGAGCTGGCCAGAGAGGGCCCTTCGGAGGGACCTCAGCGGGCCTCGGAGAGCTCCTTGACGGCCCTGCGACGGCCGCAAGAGGCCCTCCAGGACGGCCCAAGGGAACCCCAAGACGGCCCAAGAGGGCCCCAGGACTACCCAAAGTGGCCCAAGGGCCCCCAAAAATGCCCGACAGGAGCCCAAGGAAGGACCGAAGGCTGGGACGAGGAAGGTGAGAAGAGAACCCCCCGCACGACGCGGGAGAGTGTGTCACGTGTTACGGTCCTCCCAAGCCTCGAGACATGAGGTGTCACACGCTCCAGCCTCCCGCCTGCCCCCCGAACAGTCGCCACCCAAGGTCCTGTGCTGGCAAGGTGGTGGGACTCGCCGCAGGAAACTTGACATTGCCGACGCCACCTGTCCCCCACAGAGTGCATGCGTCGAGCTTCCCGCCCCGACGCTGCTCTGCACCCGACCAAGGCCCGAAAGGCCCACCCGCCGGCTCGAGCCCGCTCGGGAGCCCGGGCGGGGCGGATCCAGCGGCCCCGCCTTTCTGGCGCGGCGCGGCGCAAGGCCCCGCCCCGATCGGCCAGAGGAGCGGCGACCCGGCCTGGCCCGATCGACCGCTCGATGGGGGCCCCCCGAGGCCGCGGCCCGGCGGGCCGCCCCACTGCCCGCCGCCGCCGCCGCCCGCGCCCATGCCGTCGGGCGACGGCGCGCTCCACATCCCGCCCGGCGCCCCGGAGCTGCCCTGCATGCCGTCGGGGGAGGGGGCGCTCCACTGGCCGCCGCCCGCGCCCATGCCGTCGGGGGAGGGCGCGCTCCACTGGCCGCCGCCCGCGCCCATGCCGTCGGGGGAGGGCGCGCTCCACTGGCCGCCGCCCGCGCCCATGCCGTCGGGGGAGGGGGCGCTCCACTGGCCGCCGCCCGCGCCCATGCCGTCGGGGGAGGGGGCGCTCCACTGGCCGCCGCCCGCGCCCATGCCGTCGGGGGAGGGCGCGCTCCACTGGCCGCCGCCCGCGCCCATGCCGTCGGGGGAGGGGGCGCTCCACTGGCCGCCGCCCGCGCCCATGCCGTCGGGGGAGGGGGCGCTCCACTGGCCGCCGCCTGGGGGGGCGAGAGGAGCTGGCGGACGGCAGGGCAGCAGCAGCCGAGGGGAGAGGTGGACTCCTGGGGCCTCCTGGGGTTTCCTGGTGCCCCGCGTGGGCCAGAAAGCCTGGCTGGCAAGCCTGCTCGAACACCGGCTTCCCTGTACCCGCCCCCCCTCGACGCAACAGCTACTCAGTATGAAGACGTCCCCCCTCTTGCCCCAGATACTGTCTCTGTCTGACGACGCCTATCCCATATGCTGTTTCGCACACGCAGTGTTGCCCGAACTTGATGCCACAACATGCTTCTGGCAACCAAAGCGTTCTCGGTCCTTCCTGGCTACGTTCCAGCTGCAATGTTGACCACATCCACTCATCTTCACACAGCCTCCGTTCCACGGAACGCCCTTCCCAGCCGATCGGCGCTTCCGCCGAAGCGTCCGCCACGCTTCTGCGCTCCCCCGGAGCCCGTCCAATGGAACGACGCTCTCGCCGCACCACTGGCCGCACTGGTGCGCCGGCAACATGCATCGACCGTTGCAGCGCTTGTCACGTCGCTCGTACCAATTGCAGCGCTTGTCACGTGTAGAAACACCTTTCTTCGGAATCGGCGATAGCCCGGGTTATCCCCAGGGGGGGAGGGGGCCAGCTGATGTCCTAACCCTCGCGCTGTGGGCAGCCCTGCGTATGCCCGCGCTCACCGGTGCTGCGGCCCCTACAACTGCTAACAATGCTGCCGCGATGCTACTATCGGTGCTGCGACGATGCGGGCGCCGTCTGAATGCTTATGGATGCCTGGACAACTCGCATTAGAATACGCGGGATGTGATTGCTAAGCGTGGCCGCGGAGTCTTGTGTACACTATCTATAGAACACGCGTGCACCACACTGCCTGTGAGAACTACAAAACATGGGTGCGCCACAACGGTCTTGCCCACCACAGGTGCTGCTGCAGCAGAGGCTTCTGCGTGCACCACAACGCCTGTGTACACCCCGATGCCTGTGCACACCACAGGGGCAGCGTGCACCACGGCGTATGGCGAACGTTTGCGCCACAGCGCTTCCGCGCACCTCCAAGGTCCTGCCGGGGCCCAAATCTGGAAAATCCCCAGGGGCCCGAACGCATCATATTCAATACGTAAGCTATTTGTGATTATTGATTCCTCTGGCCCGGGGTACGGTCCTGCTCCATTTTGGGCCGACCATGTTTGTGTACACCACGGTGCCTTTCTAGTGTACACCACGACGCCTGTGTACACCACAGCTGTTTGCCTACACCGCAGTGCCTGTGTAGACAACAGTGCCTGTGTACACCACAATGCCTTTGTACACGACAGCAGCCGTGTTCACCACAGCGCCTGTGTACACTGCGGTGCTTGTGCACACCACAGGGGCAACGTGCACAACAGCGCATTGCGAACATTTGCGCCAAAGCGCTTCCGTGCACCTCCAAGGTCCCGCTGGGGCCCAAATTTGGAAAATCCCTGGGGCCCGAACGTATCAAATTCAATATGTGGGTTATTTGTGATTATTGATTTTCTGGCCTGGGGACCTTCCTCATTCATTGTTTGCCGACCATGTCTGCGTGCAACACAGCGCCTGTGTAGCGTGCGCCACGACGTCTTTGTACACCACAGCTTCTTGTGCACACCGCAGCGCCTGTCTACACAACAATGTCTGTGTACACCACAATGCCTGTTTACACTACAGCAGCCGTGTGTACCGCAGAGCCTGTGTACACACCACACACATACTGCCTGTGTAAACGACGACACCTATGTGCACCACGGTTGCTGCTTCAGCACCATACCCGTGCACCACAGCCCCTGTGCACCGAAGTGCTTTTGTACACCGCAGAACTGCGTACACTTCCAGGGCCCCCGGCGGAAGCGAACTCTAGAACGTCGCGGGGGATCCGAAGGTATCACATCCAATATTTAAGCTATTTGTAACTATTGTTTTTCTTGCTCAGGGAACGGTCCTGTCCGTTGGGCCCACAACGCCTGTGCACACGATAGCGAGTGTGTGCACAGCAGCGGATGTGTACACCGCAGCGCTCGTGTACACCACAAAGTGTGGTACAACACCATGACCGTGCACAATGCTTCTGTACACCACCATGCCTGGGATGCCTCCGTGGATGATAGTTGCTGTTGCAGCAACAGTCGTGCACACCACAAAGCCTGTCTTCACCAGATTGCCAGGTGCATCACGATGCCCGCGTGCACCGTGCGGCCTGCGTGCACTTATGCTCTCTCGCACTACAACGCCTACGTACACAACAGATCCTGCTGCAAAAAAAGCAAATGCGCGCACCAAAACGCCTCGCTGCCTGTGCACAACGCAATGCCTATGTATGCGCTGCTCACGTGCACCTCCAGCACGTATGGACGACGTCGGTCGTCGTCGGTCTGGTCGTCGGTACCAGACCAGCATGCTGCAGTGGCGAACACCACCGTGTCGATCAACACAGCGCTCCCTGCGAGCTCCCTGCGAGCTTCCTGGGCCCCCCCCCCACATGTAATCGCAATATTGGGAAATCGTGAGGGGGGGGGAACACCTCCTGCTCCCTTTCACCACCATCATCATCATCATCATCACCACCACCATCATCATCATCATCATCATCATCACCATCACCATCATCATCAGCATAATAATCATCATCAGCATTATCAGCATCACAATCATCATCATCATCACCATCATCAGCATCATCATCATAATCAGCACCATCATCACCACCACCATCATCACCACCATCAGCATCATTACCACCACCATCACCATCATCACCATCACCATCATAATCATCATCACCATCACAATTACCACCAACACGCCACCGTCATCTCCCTCACCCTCAACCTCACCATCCTCACCATCACCATCACGATCACCATCATCATCACCGTCATCATCAACATAACCATCATCATCAACATCACCATCACCTCCATCACGACCACCACCATCACCATCACCATCGCCATCACCCTCACCTTCACTCTCACCATCATCACCATCACAATCACCATCACCATCAGCATCATCATCATCATCATCGTCATCATCAGCATCATAAGCATCATCACCATCATCATCATCATCATCAGCAGCATCACAATCATCATCACCACCACCACGACCACCACCATCACCATCACCATCGCGATCACCCTCACCCTCACTCTCACCATCATCACCATCACCATCACCATCAGCATCACCATCATCGTCATCATCAGCATCATAATCATCATCACCATCATCATCAGCATCATAATCATCAGCATCAGCATCAGCATCATCATAATTGTACTCCTCCTCCTCCTTTTCCTCCGCCTCCTCGTCCCCCAGAAACGTGTTGCGGCGAGGCGGGAAAGAGCAGACGTGCGCATGCATGGATGCGTGCATGCATGCGCGAACGTGCGCGCGCGAGAAGAGCAGCCGCGCCAGGCTCCTCCGGGCTGCTGGGGCGCGGCCGCCATGTCGGGCGGCGGGGGCATGCCGCCTTCTGCTGCCGCGGACTCAGAGGCTTTGCCCCGCTCGGAGTCCATCGAACGATGATGCTCCGAGACGACGAGATGGCCCGCGAGGAAAAACGGACGCGCCGAGGCGACGCCACCGAACGAGGGACTCTACAACTGCCTCGGAGGACGACCGGGAAGGAGGGGAGGAGGACAGGGTGGAGGAGATGAGGATCGTCGATCCTCTTCTCGATCCCTGATCATCGATCCTCCAGGAACTTCGAAACACTGATCCTCGATCCAGAGACCTCAGGAGACTGCTGGGGAACTGCAGGGGATCTGTTAGAGGGAGAAGGAGCCCAGGAGGAGAGGGGAGGGATGAGAACGAAGCGGACTTTGGATGGCTCCTGGTGGTTTGAGCGCGTTCCAGGGGGGTCTGGGCCCCAGTGGGCCTCCTACTTGCTCCTTGCTCCTTCCTCCTCCTGCCTCCTCCTCCCCTCCATCGCCTCATTCTCTTCCTTTCCCTCCCGCCCGCCTCGGCCCTCGTCCCTCCTCCATCCCCCGTCCTCTTTCTCTGTGGGTCGAGCTGCGCCAGCGGGGCCCTGCCATCCCAGCGCCTGCTTGCCTCGCGCAGGACTTCACGCAGGGGCCGAGACCGCTCTGCTGGCGGCCCCTCTGCTGGAGGCCCCTTTGCTGTGAGGTCACTCTGCTGCAGGCCCCTCCCGCCTGCGGCGTCGGCGCAGGGCTGGCCTGAGCGCGCCAGTGCTCGGCCGCTGCAGGAGGAGGAGGAGGAGGAGGAGGAGGAGGAGGAGGAAGAGGAGGAGGAGGAGGTGGAGGAGGGAGGAGGGGAGGAGGTGGTGGAGGAGGAGGAGGGAGGGAGGGGGAGGAGGAGGAGGACGAGGAGGGGGGAAGGAGGAGGGGAGGAGGAGGAGGAGGAGGAGGAGGAGGAGGAGGAGGAGGAGGAGGAAGAGGAGGAGGAGGAGGAGGAGGAGGAGGAGGAGGAGGAGGAGGAGGAGGAGCGGGCAGGAGAGAAGGAGGAGAGGAGGAGGAGGAGGGGAGGAGGAGGAGGAGGAGGAGGAGGAGGAGGAGGAGGAGGGGAGGAGGAGGAGGAGGAGGAGGAGGAGGAGGAGGGGGAGGAGGAGGAGGAGGAGGAGGAGGGGGGGAGGAAGAGGAGGAGGAGGAGGAGGAGGAGGAGGAGGAGGAGGAGGAGGAGGAGGAGGAGGAGGAGGAGGAGAGAGGAGGAGGGGAGGAGGAGGAGGAGAGGAGGAGGAGGAGGAGGGAGGTGAGAGGGGAGGTGGAGGAGGAGGAGGAGGAGGAGGAGGAGGAGGAGGAGGAGGAGGAGGAGAGGAGGAGGAGGAGGGGGGGAGGAGGAGGAGGAGGAGGAAGGAGGGGGAGGAGGAGGAGGAAGAGGAGGGGGGAGGACAAGCTAGGTGCGCTCGCGTCATATCTGACATCCTACCCCTCCCTCCCATCCCTTACCATGGCGCAGATCCCCTCTCTACTCGCACAGTCGGATGTCAAGCAGGGCGATGATCCTGAAAGGGTATGCGATGCATTGTAGAGCACGGCGTGGCATGGCGTAGAAGAGCACCGCGAAGCGTAGTATCAACCTGGCATTGCAGTGCACGCCGTGGCATGGTGCGGGAAATGACGCCAGCGCTGCAGCGGGAACACGAGTCGAAACGAGCGGAAGCGCGGAAATGAGGCCAGCGCTGCAGCGGGAGCACGATTCGGAACGAGCGGAAGCACGGAAATGAGGCCAGCGCTGCAGCGAGAGCACGATTCGGAACGAGCGGGGCCCGAAAATGAGGCCAGCGCCTCAGCGAGAGCAGCATTTTGAAAAAAATGCAAGCGAAAACCTAATTCCGGGGCAGGCTTCCCGTGCGCCAGAAGCAGAAATTCAGCATTTTCAAATGAAAAATGTGTATTCAAAATAACCTTTTTTCGGCGCCGCCTCGATACTCGATTCTCCGGCGCCGGCCAGAACCGGCTCCGGGCGCCGGCCTGGGCGCCGGCCTGGGCGCCGGCTCGGGCGTCCGGCGCGGGCGCCGGCTCGGGCGCCGGCCTGGGCGTCGGAATCGGCCCGGGAGGCCTCCCGGGCGCCGGAAGAAGAAATTCAACATTTTCAAATGAAAAATGTGTATTCGAATGGCCTTTTTTCAGCGCCGCCTCGGAACTAGATTTTCCGGCGCCGGCCGGAATCGGCTCCGGACCCGGCCCGGGCGCCGGCCCGGGCGCCGGCTCGGGCGTGCAGCCCGGGCGCCGGCGGAAATGATGCCAGCGCTGCAGCGGGAGCAGGATTCGGAACGAGCGGGGCCCGAAAATGAGGCCGGCGCCTCAGCGAGAGCAGCATTTTGAAAACAAATGCAGGCGAAAACCCAACTCCGGGGAAACCTGTGTGTAAAAAACAATACTCGGGGGGGGGGGGGGGGGGCGAATATTCCAAGACGTCATCAGGGGAAGAGGGGGAGTAGTATTCATATTGCGTAATTGTGGAGGAAAGAAGGAGGAGGAGGTGGAGGAGGAGGAGGAGGAGGAGGCGGAGGAGGAGGAGGAGGGAGGGGGGGGAGGGGGAGGAGGAGGAGGGGTGAGGAGGAGGAGGAGGAGAAAGAGGAGGAGGAGGGGGGGAGGAGGAGGGGAGAGGAGGAGGAGGAGGAGGAGGAGGAGGAGGAGAGGAGGAGGAGGAGGAGGAGGAGGAGGGGGGGGAGGAAGACGAGGAGGAGGAGGAGGAGGAGCCAGCGTAGCCATAGGTCTGTCGACACGCGCCTACACAGCGGGCGCGCCTGCCTGGGCGATCAGCTCATCAGAACCGTCTTCCGATTGAACGAAAAAGCCATCATCTCCAACCTCGCCCTCAGCGTCCAGGGGCCAGGCTGCAACTGGAGCGGGTCTGGAGTCGGGCCGCGCTCGAAAAGATCATGCGCGTGAGGGCGGCGTGGCCAGCACCGTCGAAGGCGTCGTCGAAAATGAGGGCGCCGGGGGCGTCGCCAACAGCGTCATGGGACTCCAGCTGGTCGTCGGCGCCGTCGGTGACCAAAGCAACATCGCTGTAGGAGTCGACGGGCAAGAACCACCCGGGGAGCGGCACGGCAGAGGTGCAAGACGCGGACTGCACGACTCATCAAGACGTGAACTCGCACAACCATCACCAAAAGCTGAAAGATAGTCCAACATAGGAGCGGGTTCGGCGAACGAGAACACCGAAGGCGTGAGCGCACGGATTCAACGAAATGCCCTGCGTCGGCAGGGTCGGCGTCACAACCGTCTGGGTGCAGCGGGGTAACCAGATGCAGGCACAACGCGACGGCGCCCGCGAGTTCGGCGCACCAAAGTGAGAGCGCGGCAAACAGCCTGTACCTGGGAGGCCAAATGTTCATGAGAAACAAAATGTTCTGGCCGGGTACAGTTGTGATGCGCGTTGAATATCACAATCAGATATTGGACAGCCTCCATCGATGGCTTGGCCAGCTCCCATGAGTCAATCAGCCTCGGGGGGACCCTAATACCAAGAGCATCTTCACAAGCATCTCGAAGGCGATGACCTATGGCATAATGGCTGAGACAATCGGGCGCGATGCAGCCAAGTATGCATCGCTCGCGGCGCCCTGCGCGGAGGATTCGAAAATATGTGAACCAGCCAGAAGCTAGGTGCGCAGAACAGGCCACACCCAGGATACTGGGCACCGCTTCCACATCGTCTGTAGTTCCTCCCACTGAACGTCTAAGAAAATCTGCCGCCGCCTTGGCCACCACTTCGAGAGCTGTGCCACGAAGCGCTGCTGAAGCGGGTCCCTGATCGACTCCAAGCTGTCCATGGTCTGCCGCGCCGCTCATTGGAATTTTAGGCGACCGAAGCCGCTGCGGCGGGTCCAGCAGGACGTCTGAGAAAGCCTGGTTGCCGGCCGCCAGCATCTCCTGCGAGTAGCCCAAAATCGGACTGGAGGCGGAGGCGGCACGCTCCAAGTACTCCGCGAAAGAGGGGCATTCCCAGAAGTCTGGGTACAGGCGATCGGCGCCGATCATGCCTAGAGGAAGGTCGTCACGTCGATATTCTTGCATCACAGTGGCCCGCATCGCAGCGAGCACATCACCATGTCCAGACAGTGTGACCTGGGCGTCATGGACAAGAGCAGCCGCGCATGACGTGAATCATGAGGGCACTCGAGGGCCACCCCAGGCGCCGAGCTGGGCCCACTGATGAGGTTGAAAGACTCCGAGAGGTATACAAAAGAGCTGCGCAAGGTAGCCCAACTCCTGATCCTTTGTGGCACGTGGTAGCGGTATGACCTGGGCGAGGTACGAGAGCACAGACACGATGCGCATGGTGTACACGAGTGTCAGTGCCGAGGCCGGCGCTCCGCTAGCAGCAGCCTTGCGAATCCTGCCACCCACCTTGCGCGGTGCCTCCCACTGCTGCCACAGTGTGACGGCGGGGCCAATCCAAAGACCCAAATACCGGAACATCGCCAGGACTTGGAAGGCGGCGAATTCAAGGACGTGCTCAGCAAGACGGGGCTTCGAAACATCGGCCACCTCGTCAGAGAAGGCCGCATGCGGCGGAGTGATCGCACACTTGGTGAGCTTCAAGGAGCGCGTAGCGACCAGGCTCGCCATGGCCAGGACCCTCTCGACCTCCAGCCGACGGCGATCACCGCACCACCGATGTCATCAGCGCTCAGTCTGGCAATTCCAATGCCCGCCCGGTCCACGTTGGCCTCGAGGTCAGCGGCAAATGGGGCCAAGCCCACAGATCCGCCTCCCTCCCAGCAAAGACTGGACGCCAACAGACATGTAACATGCGGTCGCCTTCATGGCGAACTGCAGTCAACGTGAGGCGTTTACCATAGGGGCCCAGAGACGGGCCCGACGCTCAACAGCCCAGACTTGTCCGAGGAGACGCCGGCGGGAGCCACGGTCAGCTTCAGCGGCAGCGCGAAGATCGGGACGGTGGCGTCGATCGCGTCCAAATGTGCATTCTCCGCCCAGCTCGCGCAGGAGACGGAGCTGGAGAGCGATACCGCTCCCGCACCATCCACCTGCAGATAGTCAGACGCAGCGGGGTGCGACCGTCGAAGGCGGAGGGCATATCCAGCATCTTGTCTCCACACAGCTCGCGCTATGCTATGGGCGAGCTGCTGCCTGGTGTGAGGCGCAGGAGGAGGAGGAGGAGGAGGAGGAGGAGGAGGAGGAGGAGGAGGAGGAGGACCAGTGTAAACCCAAGAGTCACCACCGATGTTGGAATAAACCCTCCCCCCAAGCTCCCTCTTCATAGGCCCCTACAACGGTTCATTGCCACAGAGGGACCTGCCTCGTTGGAAGACAACCGCTTGAAGACCCTGAAGCATGCCAAAACATTGCAAATGTTTAAAACGATTGTCCGCGGCGCTAAAGCGAGAACAACATTCAAAAAACGGCCCGCCCTCAATCCGTGAACATCTGGTAGTTTTTTAGAACGAATGTGCGCTGCGCTAAAGCGAGAGCCGCATTTTGAAAACGACCCGCACTCAATCCGTGGAGCTCTGGAAATTTGTTTAGAACGAATGTGCGCTGCGCTAAAGCGAGAGCCGCATTTTGAAAACGACCCGCCCTCAATCCGTGGAGCTCTGGAAATTTGTTTAAAACGAATGTGCGCGGCGCTAAAGCGAGAGCCAATTTTGAAAGCGACCCGCCCTCCATCGGTGAAACTGTTGCCAATTTGAAGCTTCAAGGTCATAAATGGTGAGGAAGTCTCAGGCGAAACGCCCGGCCCGCCCTGATAACTGGCCTCGGGGTGCGACATGGAAAAGTTACTTATGAGGAGAAGGAATGGAGGAGGAGGAGGAGGAGGAGGAGGAGAGGAGGAGGAGGAGGAGGAGGGGGGAGGAGGAGGAGGAGGAGGAGGAGGAGGAGGCGCTGCGGGGAGCACAACTCGCGATGATGCTTCAGGCCGGGTGCCGGCTGTCGCACGGTTGTCGTTGGGCGTCGTGTGGCACGCCTCGTCCATCCCCATTTTTGTAGAGAAGGAGAACAAACGCCATACACATAAACTTTTGGCGCTCCGCGCGGATTTCTTGGATCCTCGCTGGGCACTCCTCCCTGGCGCGCGGAGCGCGCCAAGGGCTGCGCCGGAGGCGCCGCCGGGGGGGGCCCCGCGCGGATCCAAGAAACCCGCGCGGAGCGCCAACAGTTTCTGTTCATGGCGTCTTTTCCCCTTCGATTCTGAGCGGAAGCCGCGAAGACTCGGACCTTCTGACTGCAGCAACAAACGACCGTTCCACCCGCGCCGGCCCGCGGCTCCCCCAGGGCCTGCGCGTGGCACGCGGGGCGCTCGCGCCCCCGCCGGCGCGGCGCCGCCTGGACTTACCTCGTCGGCGTTCGCTGAAGGGGTCCAGGGACACACAAATAAACACACACACACACACTAATCCTAGGACTCCCCATCTGTTTTCATGTTTTCTGGAGTTTCCTCTTTCCCCCCACTTCCCATATTTTCTCGTATTTTCCTATCGTTTCCTGGGGGTCGACGATTCATTGTGTCTGTGTGCTCCTTTCCCTCCTGATTCGTTCCCTCCTCGCCCTGCAGGCCGAACCGCCCTCTCGCGCACCTACGGCCAGACGCCAGAGTCCGCGCCCCCACGGCCGCGCCGCACCGGGGGCCGAGAATGGCCGCAGAGTGGGGGCGTATAGATCTCCGACGGCATGAAGTTTTGTCAGTCCGCGAGTTGCTCCTCGATTCAGGCCTGTGGGGCAATCAAGGGAAAGAGATCTGGGGCGAAAGACTTGCCCCAGAGGAGGGGTCAGCATTCCTGTGGCCGCGCGCAGAAGCGATCGTGCTGCGGATGTCCGGGGGGAGGCAGCACGAGAGGGAGGAGGTGCTGCGGGAGGAGGGGGGGAGGGGGCGGGGGCGGAAGGGGGAGCCGAGAGCGGTGAAGAGCAGCTGCGGGGCCGGAGCAGAGGCGGGAGCAGGAGCTGCAGCAGCAGGAGCGGAGTGCTCGCGGAGTCCTGCTTCCCACTGCGCTGAACTGAAGGGGCCCCAGGACACACAAATAAATACACACAAATAAAAATACTCCCCATATTTTCCTATATTTTCTGGGTTTCTGTCTTCCCGCCCACTTCCCATATTTTCCCATATTTTCTTGGGAATCGACGATTCATTGTGTCTGTGTGTTTTTTCCCCTCCTGCTGAACCCTCGCTCCAGGGGCCCAATGAGGGACTCACGGTCGGGAAGTTGCCCTCAGCGTGTCGCGGCGGCGGCCCCGGCGACACGCTGCGCCTTGCAGGCGGGTCGCGGGCCGCTCCGCTCTGCGTGGCGGGACGCCAGGGAAATACGCGGGGCGCTGACGCTCGGGAGCTGTGAGATGGTCGCCGTGATCCTCCTCCTCCTCCTCCTCCTCCTCCTTCTCCTTCTCCTTCTCCTTCTCCTCCTCCTCCTCCTCCTCCTCCTCCTCCTCCTCCTCCTCCTCCTCTATCCTCCTCCTCCTCCTCCTCCTTGATCCCGCGGCGCGACATGGTGAGCAAACGTTCGTGCCCGTGCGTGGACTGAGAGGGCTGGACCAACCGCCAGTGCCTCAATCGACGACGTCGCGCCAGGCTTGCAGTCTGCTGTCCACCAGGACGGCCGGTCGTCGTCGCCCTCGGCTCGTCCGCCGCTGCCCACGATGACGATGATGACGACGACGGCGACAGCGACGACGAAGACCGACGACCGAGGACCACGGCCTTCGACGAGGACCTCCGAGGCCACGCTGTTTTGGTGACGAACTCTCGGGAATTGGGCCCCGTTTGAGTGGTCTTGGGGCCCGCACGCAGCCTCCAGAGCTTCGTTGGCCCAGCAAAAAGTGCGGGAAAAAATCAGCCGTGACGCCTGCTGCGTGGCGCTGGAGGCCCGGGGACGAGTGCCGCCCACCCCTGCTCGGCCTGGGGGGCCCTGCGCGCCCCCGGCGACGTTGTCGGACTTGCCGCTTCCCGCCGCGTTTTTTTTATGTCTGCCTGCGCGTCTGCGCGCGCTGGAGGGAGGGAGGTAGCCGGTGTCCGCCGCAGGTTTTGCTCAAGTCGTCCTCCGACTGCTGGGCCTCGCGAAGCCCGGATGATTAAACAGTGGAGCGTGCCGGCAGACATGATGAATGGTGGGCGCGGGCAAACATGATAACCGCATTAACCCTGCGCCTCAAACAAGACACGCACGATGAGTTGGCTCCCCAAGGCCGTCCACGACGCTCTCGCCACGTTGGCGGCCCCGGCCTTGTCCCTCGCTCGCGCGCGGCAACATGGCGTGCGCACCTTTCCTGTCTGCGAATTCTGGCCTGCTGCTCCTCGCTAAACACAAGGGGAGGAGGAGGAGGAGGAGGAGGAGGAGGAGGAGGAGGAGGAGGAGGAGGAGGAGGAGGAGGAGGAGGAGGACGAGGAGGACGAGGAGAAGGAGGAGGACGAGGATGGAGAAGGAGGAAGGAGGAAGGAGGAAGGAGGAAGGAGGAAGGAGGAGGAGGAGGAGAAGGATAAGGAAACGGATAAGGCCGTCGGGGGTCCCTGTCTTGCCTGGCTTGAACGTAAGCTGGACCCCTGGGGAAGAGCATGGATGCAAGCCCGTTACCTGGTCAGGTCGGCGGGCTGCCCGGGGTACTGCGGCCCTCCCTCATCAGGGGAGTGGCCCGCATGCCCCGCCAGCAGAGGGCCCTGCCCAAGAGGGACGGAGCATGGGACTGCCGGAGGCGGGCGGCTACTGCCTTCAAGGGGGCGGTGGGCGCCCTCCTTGGAGCACCCGTGGGATTCTGGGCAAGGGTGGACTGGGCGCAAGCTCCTCCCCCTCCTCCTCCTCCTCCTCCTCCTCCTCCTCCTCCTCCTCCTCCGCCTCCTCCACCTCTTTCCCCCCGCCCCGCCGAGCCTGAGGTCGGGCACGTCCCCCATACAGGCGGATTTTGGACGAACAATGGAAAAATTGCCAAACCATATTCCAGAATGGCAAAACAAATACTCAAACAATCCTCCCCTAGCTATTTTTGCAATATTTTTGAAGATTCCCCCTGCAGAGGGGCAGGCCCGACTTAAGCCGAGCCCGCGCCGTCTCCTGGGGGGCCACCGTGCGGCCTCCGCACCTCCCGAAAGCGATGGGCCACCCCTCGCAGGGGGCAGGAGCGCGCGGCGAGCGGAGGGGGGGGAGGAAAGGGAAAGGAGCCGAGGGGGCCAGCCGAAGCCAGAAACCAAGGCGGCCCCTGCGGTCACCAGCATCCTCAACGTATGCTAGGGCTCCCAACTTCGCGCTTCGCGCTCCGCGAAGCGCGAAGCGCGAATAACTTCGCGCTCTCGCGCCGCCCCCCCAAAGGGAGAAAAGGAGGACGACGAGGAGGGGGAGGAGAAACGAGGACCGCGAAGCGCGAAGCGCGAATAACTTCGCGCCCTCGGGGGAGCCCTTGCGTATGGGTCCCAACGGGCAGCAGGCGGCGTGGAGGTGGAACCACGGCCAGCAGCATCTTCCAAGTATGGGCTTCAGCGGCCAGCAGGCGCTGTGCAAGTGGAACGGGCCCGTGGCGGCAGAGACGTCGGCGGCTGCAGCGTCGTGGTCGGCGGGGTCGTCCATGTAGGGGCCCGCGACGGCAGCGAAGTCTGCGCCTGCAACGTCGCCGACGAAACTCCGGGCCACGCCGGCAGCGAGCAGACAGTTCGCGGCCTCTGCATCGGCAGGGTCAAGATGCCAAACGCCTTGCTAGCCCCGCACTGGTGCACGAGGCGCGGCAAACTCGACGGTGCTCTCGAAGGCCAAGGTCTTCGTACATCCTGGGGCGGCAAAGCATGGCTCAGCTTGACCGCGCCGTACACGGCACTGGATCGCAGGAAGGACTCGCGCGGTCGCCTGGCGGACACTCCGGGAGTTCTCAGCGGACGGCCACACGGCCTCCGAGACCTCCGCGATGGGTTCGGCCACAGGGCCTCCGGCGTGCAGCAAGTGCCAGCCAGGCGCCCAGGCGTGCTTTCGCATCTCGAAGGGCCTATGTCCCCGCAACATGGCCAGCACAAGGCATGGGCCCTGGACGGTAATAGTCCGCGTCCAGAGCGCGGGGGCCTCTACGACCTCGGTGCCAGAAGCATGACAGCGGCCGAAGGCGTTACCTTGAGACTACCTGGTGCACGGCGTGATGGCGTTACTTGGCAGAGCAAACCAAAACCAGGAGCTCTATGTCAAGAGTGGATGGGGGACGAGGATGAGGATGGGGATAAGGAGGAAGAGGAGGATGAGGATGAGGAGGAAGAGGAGGAGGAGGAGGAGGAGGAGGAGGAGGAGGAGGAGGAGCACCCTTGCAGCTCTGGGCGCGCACAGCCATAGCAGGGGGGGAGGCGAGAGGGGGCGGACGTAGCAGGGGGAGTGAGGCACAGGAAGAGAAGCAGGAGAGGAGACTCGAGGCGACGTGCGCGAGCACGGTCGCAGGACACCAGGCACGGACTCGCGGCCTCCGGGCCCAGGAGGGAGGCAGGGGGGAGGAGGGAGGAAGGGCGGAAGGGGAGGGAGGAGGGGGGGCAGCGGTGGAGCGGCCCTGGCGCGTCGCATTGGTGCAGCGGTGCTTCACGCAAGTACACCATTACACCAATCTACCACTACATCACGATCTTTCGGGGGGTCCCCCCCTCAGCAGATTGGTCCAGCCGGCGGCTGGCTGGGACGGGCTGCTGAGGATGTTTCTGGACACCTCCCCTAAGGCCTAAGGATCCTTAGGGGGGGGTCCCCCGTGAAAAAAAGAGAACGCCCCAGGGGTCCGTTCCCGTTCCCGTTCCCGTTCCCGTTCCCGTTCCGTTCCCGTTCCCGTTCCCGTTCCCGTCGTCGTCGTCGTCGTCGTCGTCGTCGTCGTCGTCGTCGTCCCGTCGTGGTCGTCGTGGTCGTGGTCGTCGTCGTTGTCGTCGTCGTCGTCGTCGTCGTGGTCGTCGTCGACGTCGTCGTGGTCGTGGTCTCCGTCCACCCTGAAGGGGGGTCAAGAGGGAGGCTCCAGAAAGGCTGCGGACGCTTGGAGGCGTGTTGGGCTCTCCTGAGAGGCCTCTCGGGGGCCTCTTGGAAGCATGTTGCAGGTCTCTTGGGGCCCGTAGGGGTCTTCTTGGGGACGTCAGGGCGGAGGACTTGGGGGTCTCCTGGGAGTTCGTTGGCGGTCTCGGAAGGTCTCTGTCAGACGCCTACGGCGAATCACCGCCGCCCCTTGCCTTTTGGAAACGCCGACGCGGCCAAGCGTTACGGCGAAGTTTGGCCCAGGTGTTGGACCAGGTGTTCCCCCAGCCGTCGTTGAAACCCTTGGGGAAGACACTTGGGTGAGGAAGATGGGGGAGGAGCAGGATGGAGGGGGATGATGGTGATGATAACGAAGAGGCGCATGAGATGATAAGGAGGGGGGGAGGAGGCCTCTTGGAGGCATTTTGGGAGTTCCTGTAGTTGGGGCCATTAGGACTCCTTTTCGGGTAGTCAGTAGTAGGCCATAGCAGGGCCGTCCTGGCAGTCTTCGACGGCATGCTGGCCGTCCTGGTTAGTAGTAGTAGTAGTAGTAGTAGTAGTAGTAGTAGTAGTAGTAGTAGTAGTAGTAGTAGTAGTAGTAGTAGTAGTAGTAGTAGTAGTAGTAGGGGAGGCCGTGGGAGGCTTGCCGTTCGTGTTCCCGTTCGCGTATCTTGGGTCGGCTTGAAGGCGCAGGGGGGGTAGACGGGCACGCGACCGGGCGGGAACGGAACGGGAACGGGAACGGGAACGGGAACGGGAACGGGAACGGGAGCGGGAACGGGAGCGGGAACAGGAACGGGAACGGGAGCGGGAGCGGGAACGGGAACGGGAACGGGAACGGACCTATAGGGCGTTCTCGCGCTTTTACGGGGGTCCCCCCCCCATCAGCAGCCTGACCCGTTCCCTCAGCAGACTCGTCCAGCTGGCAGCTGGGCTGGACGGGCTGCTAAGGAGTTGCTGGACCCCCCCTCAAAGATCCTAACGGGGAGGTTCCGAAACGCACTCAACAGCCCACTACACCATTACACCACAACGCCATTACAACGCGATCCTTCGGGGAGATAAAACCCCCCTTAGCAACCTGGCCCATCCGGCGGCCGGCGGGACGGGCTGCTGTGGATGCTTCTGGCAAGGATCCTCAGGTGGGGGGTTCACCTACCCCCATCAGCAGCCTGACCCCCTCCTTCAGCAGACTGGTCCATCCGGCGGCTGGCTGGACGGGTTGCTGAGGGTGTCTCTGACCCCCCCATAGGGGACGTTTTCGCACCCCGTCAGAAGCCTGATCCAGTAAGCTAGCCCATTCAGCAGTGCAACGCCCTAGAATAAAGCTTACAGCATTCCCCAGAATGGTGTAATAGTGCAGTGGTGTAGTGGTATGATGCTTACAGCGTCCCCCAGGATGGTGAAACTGTTTAGTGATGTAAAAACTTGGCTCATTCTGGCCGAATTGTGTAATGGTGCAGACAATAGACTCGTTTCAAAACGGTGTAATAGTGTAGTGGTATGGTGGTGTCATGGTGTGATCCATCCACGATGCCCAAAAAGGCGTAATGGTGCGATACACTGATTCCAAAGTGGTGTAATTGTGTAATGGTGTAATTGCCAATCGAAAAATCCAGATTGCTCCGACGACGACTTCTCCCGCCTCTCGACGAAAACCCAGCTGGGGCGCACGGCGACGCGCAGACCAGCGATGATGACGACGTCGAGGTCGTTCACGTCGCCGTCGTCGTCGTTCAGCGTCGTCGTCGTCCGACGTCGCCGTTCGTCGTCGTTGTCGTCGTCGTCGTCGTCGTCGTCGTCGTCGTCGTCGTCGTCGTCATCGTTCGTCGTCGCCGCCCGGCGCCGTCGTCACCGGTTCTTCGCCGTCGCTGTCGGCGTCATCGTCAACTGGCGTCGCCGCAGTCGTATGGCGTCGGCGGCACAAGCGCCGGGCGGCGAAGGGCGCCGTCCTGGAGAACATCTGGCTCTGGTCCGTCAGCGGGGCCCGCTTGAACGTGGTGCTGGCGCTCGCCGGGGGGGCCATGGGCGAGGCCTGGGCGCGAGGCGCGGCAGCGCGGGTCCGCGTCGCCACCGCCGCCAAAAACGTCGTCGTTGCCGTCGCCGTCGCCGTCGTCGTCGCCGTCGCCGCCGTCGCCGTCGCCGTCGCCGACGCCGTCGCCACGCCCGCCGCCGCTGCCGCCGTTGCCGTCGTCGCCGTCGTCGTCGTCGTCGTTGTCGTCGTCGTCGTCGTTGTCGTCGTTGTCGTCCGTCGTCCGACGTTGTCCGTTGTCGTCGTAGTGGTCATCGCCGCCGCCTTCGGGGCACTGGGAGGAAATGGAAGGAGGATGACGTGGGGAGGTGACTTGGAAGCGATGAGGGGGTCGGAAGAGAGGAGTGAAAGAGGGAGGAGAAACAGGAAAGAACGCGGAGGATAATTGAGTAAGGGTGGGGTGCATGCTGAATGACGAAGGATGGAGAGGAGGAGGAGGAGGAGGAGGAGGAGGAGGAGGAGGAGGAGGACCAGACGCAGCAAGATTAGTGGGATAATGCGGGTACACATGATGATGGGCAATTTCAGTGGGATTGCATGCTGGTTCGGGTCAGGTCATGGATTCAAGGCCACTGCCAATGAAGGCTTCAGACAAGACACCCGATACAATTTTCGCAACACGCTCTCCACAAACTCTGGACCAGCCTTTTGCGCCTGCGGCATCGCGCTGAGAGTGTAAGCGGACGGGTGAGGTGTAGCGGAAGACGTACCAACTTCCTGGAAGCTGACAGGAAAATCTCTGGGCGCATCTGTACACACAGAGGGACAAGCCAGGACATGGACATCAACTGTCGGAGGTCCGCGCGGACTTGTTGGGCCATACCTCCCCTGACGGGCGAAACGCGCCGGGGGCCACGCCGGACGCGCCGCCGGGGGGGGTCCACGGGGGTAGGGGTACGTCAAAACACCTCTCCCAAACGCAAGCTGTCTGGCTCACTCTCACCCACCCTCCCAGCACGTAAACCCTAGCCTCAGCATGTTCAACGGTCGATTTTGGACGGAAAAGGCCGCGCCTGCACGGCGCATCGGCAAAAGATTCGGCAATCCTGAATATACGTACATGTGGGGAGGCGTGCGCGAACATGCAAACCAACAGCTGCACAGTGCCTCGGTGAAATCGTTGTCTTCTTTGCACCAACGAAGTGCGAGGGAAAACTGCGCAGCATTCCGGGGGAGGGGCGGAGGGAGGGAAGCAGGGAGGGAGGGGAAGGAAAAGGCACAGAAGGCAAACACATTCATAATGTCTGCGTGTGCTGATCGACTGCTGCGCCCTGGAAATGCCGTCGACGGAGACCTCGCCAGTTTACCGTAGTACTTCAAGTGCCGCTGCAATAGAACAACTGACAGCTTTTGTGCTTGTACTGTCGTTCGTACTTGAACATTGCTTACTCGAGAGACAAACGCTGGCGGAATCTTGTAGATTCTCCGGAGGCACCTCGCCTGGAAACCGTCGAATCGATCCAGATCACATCATAGTAGGAGACATGATTCCAGACCATGGAGTAGTCTTGAAAATACACATGCTTCCAGTATTCGCGTTTTCGCCTGTCGGCTCACATTCGCGTGGGTGGTTCCATACAGTGCAGAGCGGTTGGAAGGCGCCTCTCGCTTCCCCGAGTCGCCTTGTAAGTTCAGCGCGCGGGTTCCCATCGGAACTAAGAAGTCCCCCGAAATAAATTGCATGATATTTGCATTGGATTTCTTCGCCTCCAAGCCAGGATACGGGAGCATATGATCGGATCCTCATCAACCTCATTTTCCCGTCGTCCAATTCCAGCGCAAATCCTTTGCCGACCGTCGCCGCGAGATCCAGATGGCGCTGCAATGCGTCCGCAAGACGCTTCGCGTCGTCGGCGTGCGAGGTGCCCCCGGTAACGAGACAGCTTTTGGCGCGCGTCCCGGCGCTGTTGTTCATCTCGTCGTCCACGGCTTCCATCGGCACAGGCGGCAGGGTTATGGAAACGCGCGGGGGTTAATGGGCAGCCCTGAGCAATGCAAGCATTTTACGAATGTTGTGAGGATGTGTCTTGCCCTCCTCGCGCGACGAACTTTCGCGCTGCGCATGCGCCTTGAATCATATCGATCATAGCCGCAGGTATTTGGAATTGACGCAGTGCGTGCGGCAGCCCGTCGGGATTGATACGGTCAAACGCCTTGTTCCAGTCTAACAGAAGTATGAGCAATGCCCCATGCTTGCCTTCAAGTGTTGCGTCGATGCAACGGCGCGCCAGAAACACAGCGTCGGAAGTGCCCCGGTTAGGTCTGAAGCCGCATTGAGATTCTCGGAGTCGCTTCTCCACGCCCCCAGTTTTGAGGCGACGTAAGATAATTATTGCAGGCGCTTTGCGCTCAACTGCAAGTAAGGAAATGGGCCTGTAATTGCTCGGCCCTGACGCATCTATCTTTTAGGATATCGTTGCAACGCAAGTTTCCCGCCATGATTCTGGCATTTTCTCTTGGGCCCAACAGCTCGAACATCAGTCGCGCAGAATTTCCAAAACCGCGTCGTTTGAACGCAGTGCTTGCCATGGATCTGGAGGTGCGCCATCGTTCCCGGCTGCTTTGCCAACTCGTAAAGATATGACTGCGGGGCGTCTCTCTATTTAGCGTGATGCCTCCAGTGTTTATGTCCGAAAAAATGCTGTTGCGCTCCAGGTCTGATAGAACTTCGGGCCCCTCGCATGGCTTCCATTGCGCATATTCAAGATGATAAGCCATCGTGTTCGCTCTATTTCCGGATTCCACCAGGGTGCCATTCATATCTCGTAGGCGCCCTTTTTGGGTAGATCTCTTTTTCCGGAGAGATCGCGCGGCTTGCCGCCAGCTTGCCGCTTGCCGGAGCACAACGTGGTCAAATTGCTCGAAAACGCCGGGCAACAGGGTGTCCATAGGATGGGCCCCTATGTCGAAGTACGTCGCTTTGGACTCTACGGCTACGTCGAAAAACGCGTTCGCGATGCGCGTGTCTACGGCAGCGCACTCCACCAGTAATTTTCTATTCGATGTAGGCGACCATTTGCTGGCGCGGTTGCGGCGCGCGATTTCCGATGATGTCCTGTTCCCCAGCACATCTTTGCAAGAGCCTCGCATTCAAATCTCAGAGTAATATCGTTGGTCAGTGGCTACGGCCCCTTGCAGAAATCTGGGCCAAATTCGCGAAGAAATCATGGCGGGCGTCGAGATCATGAGTGTTCGCCCAAGCGTAGACATTGATCGGCGTCGGTACTCCCCCCTCCACGCGTATCCGTAGCGTTGCAACTCTGCCGTTGCGTCGGATGCATCCTCGAATAATCGACTGTTTAGCCCAAGGTGCTACGATGAAACCCACTCCAGCAGATTCTCCGCGGTCGCCCTCTGACCCCCATAAAACAACCAAGCAATTACCGAATTCATAAACTGCGGATCCACCACAATGTGTCTGTTGAAGACATAGGGCATCTATATCCAAATCCATCGTGCGCTTTGTGCTCTCGTGCAACTTCGGAGGGCTGCTTTGGGCAATGCCTCCGACATTCCACGAAGCGATCCCCTTCCAGATGTAGGAAGGCAAGTGAAAGCGATCCAGTCCCAACTTTGGAAGAATTTGCATTGCCGATGCGTCGCCGTATTTCCTAGCGCGTAGCTCCCATCCCTCCTTTCTTCCCCTTCCCAGCTCCTTGCGCTGCCCCGGATAGCGCCTCGTTCGCTCGGGGCGCGAGGGCGGCCCTGATCGGGGGGGGCTGTCTTTGAGGTCGCCCCGAGTCGCCCACGCACCGTGACAAGCCAAATGCAACCGGTGGTTGTGGACCGTCGCGTGCGCCGCCAGCTCGCCCGCCACTGTGAACGTCTGCTCGCGCGTGTCCACGCGGGCCCCCCCCTCGGTGTAGCCCCGCTCGTCTGTTCCAGAAGCCAAACAAGAACGACTCCGGGACCCTTTTCCCGACTGACTGGTCGGGGCGAGTCCATATCGCGTTAGCGTTGTGCTTGCCTGGCTTTACCGAAAGACGCGATAAACTTATCCTGGACAGCTGCGGGCCCAAATTTTGCAAAGACGATGCCATTGAAATCGCCTTTTGCGTCGATATCCAAGGGCCCTGGAAAGCGACGGTTTTTGATGCGATTGTCAGAGGGAACAACCGCGAAATCAAGATCTGGAAGATCTCCGAGACCTCCAACGACAGCGGTGCTTTCCCGGTCCCCTTTGGTAGTAAGCTCAGAAAGTGGCCGCTCCAAATTCCGATATGCTCGCTTCCATTTGGGCGCCCATGCTCGGCGCTGTTCCGGAGCGTGCGGATGGGGCCCGAGATGCATTTTCCAGTTCTTCTACCCGCGATGCAAGCTTGTCAATATTCAAGCGCGCCGGGGCCAACGCGTTCTCCAAGTCGTCTCTCGATGCTCCATGCCTTTTGATAGCGGCAAGATTGGTGTGGATAGGGCCAACTTGTGTCTTCGCTAAGTTCTCCATTGCGCCCGTGGTTGCAGCGGTTGACGAAGAAGCATTGCTGTGTGTGGAGGGCGCTGCATCAATTCCAGCTGCCGCTGCAAGCTGTCCTTGAAATTGCATTTGGCGCTGCGTTTGAAGAGCATCGGGGGCGCGCTCTGCTCCTGAAAATGCGTCCATCTGCTGCGAGGGGCTGCTTCGCCCGGCTTGCTTCAGGGCGCCCCCCGCCGGGGTCCCCACGCGATGCTTTTCCGCTGGCGTCGCGAAAGTGGACAAGTAAGTGGTCGGAAAAGGGCTTTGTCAACAGAAAGAGAATGCGATGGAGAGCCACTAGGGTAAAGGGTCAGTGCAGTAAGCCGTTTTTGGACGGGCAGCTACTGAAAACCAATGCAGACCCCAGGTGCGCGACGCTGGGGCGACGTGCGCCGCGCGTGCCAGGCGCGCCGCGCGCGCCGGGCGCGCCGCGAGCACTGGGCGCGCCAAGCGCCCCTGAGGCCCCAGCGTGCCAGGTGCGCCTGGTTCGCCCGGTGTGCCGCGCGCTCCGCGTGCGCCAAGAATGCAGCATGCTTTAGCCGCGTCGGGT